CCCTGTTTTAAAGCAATAAAATCAATCCAATCCACTTTATTTCTATAGCACATTTCACAAACAAACGGTTTCCAAAGTGCTGCACAAGTACCTAAAAATAACAACAATAAGATGATAAAATAAACTCCTAAAACAAAATCACTTCTAACTGAATAAATGCCAGATAGATAAGTGCAACTCTTCTAGAACGAAGGACAATTTTAGTACATTTTCTTCATCTGGATTTTCTGTTATTAAATCTCCTCCTTCTGCCTCCTCATGAAGTGTTTTTTCAGTGCAACCTGTTATTTCACAATCTGTTATTTCATAATGGCTGTAATAAAAGCTGTAGGACCAAAAGAAAGAAAGAAAATACAATTCATACGCTTTCATACAAACATACACATAAATAATGGACATAAATATGCTTACTTTAATTTATATCAAATCTGTAAAAAGTCTGGGAAAAATCCCTCAGGCGTCCAGGCGGGTCAGGAGAAAATGAACCTGGGATTGATAAACAGTAAACTCGTTTGAGGAGCACAAGGCCAGAGTGTTGGACAGAGGATAACAGACAGGATCACAGTGAGACTTCAACAAACTAGATCTAAAAACCAAAAACTAAGGTGTAAGAATCAAAAACGGTCGAGATGGATGTAGACTAAGGCTACGTTCAGACTGCAGGGTTTAACGCTCAATTCTGATTTTTTTGTGAAATCCGATGTTTTTTCGAGGTCGTTCACATTTCCAGTTAAATGTGACTTGTATGTGACTCCAGTGTGAACATTAAACGGTCCAAAAGTGTCCCACATGTGACACTGGAGACACGACGACGTCAACCGCAGCGAGCGTCTCTGTGTTTACAGAAGTTGTCCAAACATGGACGCAGCATCGAGCACCTGGAGATTTTAAAGTTCCTCTCGTACCGGAGCCAGAACATGAACAACTGACTTGTTTTAAGGAGGAGATTGAGAAGGAGAAGGACGAGGTTTTTGGTCGTGGTGTTTTGTGGTGAGTGGAGATGTGCTTCACTTCAGTCACATGGATCATGAACAGTTTTCTCCTACTTCAGCGCAGAATAGTGACGTTTGTGTCTTGTTGATAACGTGTAGGTGGATGAACCGTTCACACTGAAGTCACATGTTAAAGATCAGATATGTATCAGTTTCAGGAGCACAGATCCAAGTGTCCTGGGTCACATTTGAAAAAATCAAATCTGTGTCATTCAGACTGTCATTTAAAGATCGGATACAGGAACATGGGGGCCAAAAAATGGGATTTGGGTCACTTCAGGCTGCAGACTGAACGCAGCCTAAGACAGACATTCAGTGTTGTCAACGATTCCCGAGATCGAGGATTTAAAGCCGGAATGAAGAGAATGTTTGGTGAATTTTAAGACGTTATTGCCCTCCTTTCTACAGGATTTGGCGCATTACATACGTCACGACCAAATAACAGCGATTGATTAAATTAAAACAGTACCCGCCTACCGTCGAGTGAACAAATCCTAATGCTGCGATGTCAAACTGGCTGATGGATCAGGCTACATACTAAAACACCGTATTTTCCGAGCTATTAGACGCGCTCTTAAGCCTCTAACCGCATCAAAAAACGACTGCGCCCCACAATCCAGAGCGCCCCATACACGAATCCACTCGGTGTCCCAGTACGACTTCAGTAAACTACAAAGCCACAAACACACACGGAGCAGACAGCGACCGCACAGAGAAACACACACACACACACACTCATCATCCACGCCGACGAGGAACGGAACGGAGAACGAACCGAAAAGCCACGAGCGCGACGTGCGCTTCTAGACACGACTGAACAACTGAGTCACTGCGAACACCCGACAATCCATGAATGGGCGCAACCACAAAACGAGGTCAGTTATTGGTCCATACGAGGAAACAGACTGTTTTGGACATTTTTAAGTCATTAATTGTCAGCAAAAAAGTTTAGAGATCACATACTAAAGGTCCTACATCACACAAAATTGACTCTTGTGAGGTTTAAGTCGTTCTAATGTTGTTTCCTCGTCAAAACAACCTGGAGTTGTGTTTTTTTCATTCACGGCTTGAGAACTCTTTATGTCTGTTTACATCTCCAAAGCTCAAAATGCTCTGTTCCAAAACAAACCTGAAGGTGAACCCAGGATGCCGTCGTATTGTTTTGAGTGGCCAGTGCTCATTTAGCCTGATTCATGAGCCGGTTTCACTTCGTAGAAACTGTGTGACCTCGCAGCATTAGGGTTCGTTCGCTCGACGGTAGGCGGGTACCGTATTTTCCGGGCTATTAGTCGCGCTCTTAAGCCTCTAACCGCATCAAAAAACGACTGCGCCCCACAATCCAGAGCGCCCCATACACGAATCCACTCGGGTGTCCCAGTACGACTTCAGTAAACTACAAAGCCGCAAACACACACGGAGCAGACAGCGACCGCACAGAGAAACACACACACACACTCATCACTCCACGCCGACGAGGAACGGAACGGAGGAACAAACTGAAAAAGCCACGAGCGCAACGTGCCGCTTCTAGACACGACTGAAGTTAGTACAAGTTTGAAGCTTACGTTTTCAACATGTTTCAAATTCAGAGTGTGAAATTCGCAAGCAAAGATCCAAGATGCCAAGGCAGAAGCGTCAGTTGTGTGAGTGATGAGGAAAGAGGCTCTTTCCTATTGGTTGTTCTCATTTGTGGGTGGGGTTTATACTTAAGAAATCAAAGAGATGAGGTTTTGATGAGGTGAATTCTGACCAATCAGAACGCTTCACTGCTCCATTTCCTGTTTGTTACTGAGTTCGATCAGATCATTTTGGATCAATGCTTCTGCCTTGGCGTCTTGGATTTTTGCTGCGAATTTAGAATTTTACACTCTGAATTCTGACTGCTGAATTTGAGAGTTTGAAAATATCTGTGCTGAATATTTAAAAGGTTATGTTAAACACTTTGAAAATGTACACATATACCGTATTTTCCGGGTTGTTAGATGCGCTCTTAAGCCCCTAACTGCATCAAAAAACGACCGCGAAAACACACACGGAGCAGACAGCGACCGCACAGAGAAACACACACACACACACACACTCATCACTCCACGCCGACGAGGAACGGAACGGAGCGACGAGCGCGACGTGCCGCTTCTAGACACGACTGAACAACTGAGTCACTGCGAACACGCCGACAATCCAGACACACCCTCCCTACACGCCACAACTGAACAAAGCCCAGAGTCACCGGGAACGAACAAACAAACAAAACCACTCACACATCACACTGTTGGGTTTCATTTAAAGTCCCACGCCGTTTATTTATGAAAAAAGTTCAAAAATAGACCATTTAATGACAGTGTGTCTTATAATCCAGAGCGACTAATAGTGCGGAAAATACGGTACTAAAATTTGCAAATAGAAAAATAGCAAATAAAATCAGTAAAAAAACTAAAATTACTCTTAGTTTACATAGTCTGCTACTCTACTTATAAACACTGAATCGTTTCTCAAAATGCACAACGTTGTTTTTTTCTTGTCTGTTGTTGTGAACTTGGTGGTTTTATTAGATTTTTTTTTTTTTTTTAAGGACAATGGAATAAAACATTAAACAATACAATAATAAGCATGAAATCAATGCATAAACATAAAAGATATAAAACTAAATTTGAAAAAATTAAGCTCATCACCTCGAGCCCAAAACATGCACCCAGAAAAAATACAAAAATAAATACTGATAATGGTAATGAATCCGTTTATCATTTGTTCATTTGTTTTTTAATAAGAAAACGAAAAATAAGAAAATGAAAAAACAACAGTTTTCTTTCATTATTTGTCTCCAAAACCAAAATGAAAAGACAAATAATGATTCGTTTTTTCAGTTTTTGATTTTGTGTTTAAATCAAAAATGGAAAAAATGGATAACGGACGTTTCCCGTTTATGTGACGTCTGTGACTGCGATGACGGACTGAACCAGGACTGAACCAGGACTGATCCAGGTCCGAGACCAGATAGGGACTGAGACCGAAACAAGACCGGGACCATAGCGGGACCAGAGCGGGACCAGACCGAGACCACACCGAGACCAAACTGGGACCAGACCAAGACGATCAGAACTGAAACCGGGACCAGGCCGAGACTGAGACCAGATCGGGACCAGATCAGGACTGAGACCAAGACCAGATCGGGACCAGACCGAGACTGAGACCAGACCGGGACCAGATCGGGACCAGAGACCAGACCGGGACAATCGGGACCAGACCGAGACTGAGACCAGACCGGGACCAGATTGGGACCAGACCGAGACTGAGACCAGACCGGGACCAGATTGGGACCAGACCGAGACTGAGACCAGACCGGGACCAGACCGGACCAGATCGGGACCAGACCGTGATAATCAGAACTGAGACTGGGACCAGACCGAGACTGAGACCAGACCGAGACCAGATCGGGACCAGACCGAGACCAGATCGGGACCAGACCGAGACCAGATCGGGACCAGACCGAGACGATCAGAACTGAGACCGGGAAGAACAGAACCCCGCGAAGGCTCAGAGTCAAAGCTCTGGTCCTGGTCTGGTCCTGGTCTCAGTCCTGGTCTCAATCCTGCTCTGGCCCCGGTCTGGTCCCGGACCTGGATCAGTCCTGGTTCAGTCCGACATCGCAGTCACGGACGTCACGTCAACGGGAAACGGCCATTATCCGTTTTTTCCATTTTTCATTCAAACACAAAATCAAAAACTGAAAAAAAAAAAACAACGAATCATTATCTGTTTTTTCATTTTGGTTTTGGAGACAAATAATGAAGCAAAGTGTTGTTTTTTCGTTTTCTTATTTTTGGTTTTACATTGAAAAACGAATGAACGAATGATACTGGGATTGTAACGGTCATGCTAGTCCGCCTTTTATTTTTATATCTGCTGAAATAAGAAGTGGACTCAGTGGCAGGATAGTTGATGTTGTTTTGTTTTGTTGAAGGTTATAAATAAATGTCCCCGTGTGTCTCTTTCTCGTTGTGTCTCCAGGCTGCAGACTCTCCCCAGGCCCACGCCGTCCCTCTGGCCTGGGTGAAGGAGGGCGGGATGGTGCGTCTGGACAGAAAGTACCTCCACGTGGAGTTTAAAGGCGTGCGCTCCGAGGACACGGTGTACACCATCCTGTCTGCGCACGGACGGCCCACGCACGGTAACCGCAGCTTTAGGCCACACGGGGCTTCTAGAACTTTCTGCCAGGCGATAGCGTTGTTTTTTTTTTTTCCTGTCTTCGAAAACACGCCTGGGGAGGTTTTAGACGTCGCCCGTTTTTCACCCGACTGTTTCTTTCAGTCTGCAGAGAGGTGGAATAACAAGGTGGTCTGACAAAATCCATGTGTCATTTGTTCATTTGTTTTTCAAAATAAAACTGAAAAGAAGAAAATGAAGAAACCTGCTGTTTGCTTCATTATTTGCCTCCAAAACCAAAATGAAAAAAACTGATAATGATTCGTTTTTTTTCAGTTTTCGATTTTGTGTTTAAAAGAAAAATGGAAAAAACGGATAATGGACTAAACCAGAACTAAACCAGGACTAAACCGTTTTCAGTCCTGGTCTGGTCCCAGCCTCAGTCCTGGTCCTGGTCTGGTCCCGGTCTCTGTCCCGGTCTGGTCCTGGCCTAAGTCCTGGCCTCAGTCCCGGTCTAGTCCCAGACTAAGTCCTGGTCTCAGTCCCGGTTCTGTTCCCGGTCTCAGTCCTGGTCTCAATTCTGGTCTGGTCCCGGTCTCAGTCCCAGTTTCAGTCTCAGTCTCAGTCCTGGTTTTGTTCCTGGTCTCAGTTTTGGTCTGGTCCTGGTCTAGTCCCGGTTTCAGTCCTGGTTCTATTCCTGGCCTCAGTCCCGGTCTCAGTCCCGGTCTCAGTTCTGGTCTCAGTTCTGGTCCCGGTCTCAGTCCTGATCTCAGTCCCAGTCTGGTTCCAGTCCTGGTTCAGTCCATTATCCATTTTTTTTCAATTTTTCATTTAAACACAAAATCGAAAACTGAAAAAACAAATCATGATGTGTTTTTTTTTCCTTTTGTTTTTGGAGACAAATAATGAAGAAAACAGTTGCTTTTTTCGCTTTCTTATTTTTTGGTTTTATATTGGAAAAACAAATGAACGAATGACACATATTTCACCCGTCTGTTTCTTGGAGTCTGCAGAGGTAGAACACGCTCTGACTCAGCCCCTCCGTCTTGTGTGTGGTTTTAGGCGACGTGGTCTTGGCCTCCATGCCGGCAGACTCCCCCCCGGACCCCCCCACGTCCCGGGACTCGGGCTTCACCCCCACGTCGTCCTTCACCCAGCAGGACGTGAACGATGGAGCCGTGTGGTACAGGCACCGCGGGGCCGGCACCTCCACCGACTCTTTCCAATTCAAGGTGAACACACACTCGGGCTGCGCTCGCACTGAAACGAATCACAGAATCACCGAAACGATCTGCGTCCAGACACGTCGTTTCTGCGTCCACAAACCTTTTATATCCACACAACTTTGAGCTCTGGATTATAAGACGCACTGTCATTAAAGGTTGTATAGAGGATTTTCCAAGGAACGAGAAATCCAGCGACTGTTTGTCCTTTTTCAAATGTTGCTCATGCGTGAAAACCACCCCTCTCCCCTGACAGCTCCTACGTAGAAAACACCTCCTCCCGCCTCCTCCTTACGCCAGAAACAGGTTTGTTTACAGCCGGTGCTGCACATGACTTGTAAACAACTAAACTACAGTGTTGGTTAGACAAGGCGGAGAAGCGAGGAGCGGGAGGAGCAGGTGTGCGGACATTTCGTTCGCGGACGAGAAGTGAGGAGCAGGGAAAGAGCGGAGTCAGAGAGAGGAGAGGGGAGAGAGATGTTTGAATGTGTTGTGGCTTTTTGATGTGTTGTGGCTTTTTGTTGTGGCTTTTTAATGTGTTGTGGCTTTTTAATGTGTTGCAGCGTTTGCATTAAAATAGAGTCCCGCGGTCACTTCCTTTGTGGCTTTTTTTGGTGTGTTGTGGCTTTTTGTTGTGTTGTCGTGTTTGTATTTGTTGCGGCGTTTGCGTTTGTCGTGACCCCTCTCGGCTTCCGTATCCTTCCCTTCTCCTGACAGTCTTTTTAGGTCAGATTAGTCTGGTTTGGGGGGTTCACTCTGGGCTCCCCCGAGGCCTGACGCTCACGGCTGTAGGAAAAATACAGGAGATTGGGCTGAGGAGTTCCAGAATCTTCCCCAGACTTGCACAGTCAGTGAGTGGATGGTGGCACGAGCGTCGGACGCTGCGTCTGCTGATTATATGTTTACGCTTTTCACAATTCAAAAGATTTAATTGCTACGGTAACGGTCCTTTTCAACTTTTCATCACTGTGAGAGTTTGGATGGAAATAGTCACATTTACGTCTGCACAGAGGCGACGGGGAGGAGAAGTGTTTGTTCAAAATACTGCAAAATATTATTACACAAGTGGAGAAGAAAGAAATTACTCAAGTTACATTTGTAAGTATTTGGGAAAAGTACTACTGCAGTAACTGTTGGGCTCTAACATCTGATATAGTTTGAAGTTAATGTAAATGAAAGTACAAAATATTAAACATCGCTCAAAATCTGGTGTTTTAAAAGTATGTTGCAAAAAACACAAATGTTTAAATCATTTCATATCATCAGTATAATGCTTTTTTACTACCGTATATTCTGAACTATAAGTCGCTCTGGAGTATAAGTCGCATCAGCCAAAAAAAAAAAGTGTAATGAAGAAGAAAAAACATATAAGTCGCACTTTTTGGGGGAAATATATTTTATAAAATCTGAGACCAGGAACCGACATTTCATCTCGAAAGTCAAGTTCTAGTAAAAACAATAGAAGAGAGAACAACAGACTGAATAGATGCATCACGAATTTCGGACTTCCGGTCATCGCGCAATCTATACTGGGAGGGATTTTCCTAAAAAGTGAGCGTCAAATTGTCATGTTTGTTTTCCCAGTGGGATGTGTCTATCGTCAAAGTCGATCTTTTCAAGTCTTTTGAACCATATCACTTTTGTTTCTGGTTCTGATATTGTCATATTTTAGTTTTGGGATTCGGACGTCGTTAATTGTGTGGTTGTTGGATCCTAACAGCGGAAAACGGCTCGAGAAATTTGTTTGCGAACTCCATAAATGCAAAAGTGAATCAGATGTGTGTGACTCAAACCTCTGTTCAAACTGTTTCTCTTCCCAACGGAATTGAAAAAAAGTGAAAGGTGAAGGTGATGGGCAGGATTGATCCACAGGAAGAACCAAAAAGGAAACATTTGTCTGACTAAATCATCCTGAGTTTACAGAGAACATTTTGTTTGTGGAGCGACGACAAAACAAAATCCTGTTTGTTAATGGAGAGGAGCAGAAGACAAACAGACTGAGCTGCACTTTCTTGTTCTTGTGGTTTTACAGAAACATCACGTCTTGGTCTCTTTGCAGTGGAAGGTGTTTCTTGGTGAACAGTTGGAGCCTTTCACTTTGTGTGTTGACTTTTTTAAATTCGTAACTGAGGTTGAGTGAAGGATCAGGATTTTGTTTTGTCGTCGCTCCACATACAAAATGTTCTCTGTAAACTCGGGATGATTTCTTAGTCAGACAAATGTTTCCTTTTTGGTTCTTCCTGTGGATCAATCCTGCCCATCACCTTCACCTTTCACTATTTTTCAATTCCGTTGGGAAGAGAAACAGTTTGAACGGAGGTTTGAGTCACACACATCTGACTCCCAAACTTTCGCAAACTTCTGAATCCAGTTTTCCGCTGTTAGGATCCAACAACCACACAATTACGATGTCCGAATCCCAAAACTAAAATATGACAATATCAGAACCAGAAACAAAAGTGATATGGTTCAAAAGACTTGAAAAGATCGACTTTGTCAATAGACACATCCCACTGGGAAAACAAACATGGAGGTTTGATGTTCACTTTTTCGGAGGATCGTTCCCAGTATGAATTGCGCAATGACCGGAAGTCTGAAATGCCAGAAGTCCAGAGGCTTTTTCTGCAGGAGACATGCAGAGAAAATTTTAATATAAGTCACACCGGAGTGTAAGATGCAGGAAACACCCAAACCATGAAAAAAAAAGACACTTATAGGCCGAAAAATACTGTACTTGTAGTAATTTGTACTTGTACTTGTACTTCTACTTGTAGTAACTTGTAGTAGTACTTGTAGACTTACTCACATTGGGACGAATAACAATAAACAAAACTTTGAATCAACTAAGAGTATTTGACTACACTTTCAAATAAATTAGATAAAACTAGGAGTAAAAGTGTAAGGCTTGAAAAATACTCGGAGAGGATGATTACTCAAGTTACTGCAATTGAGAAAATCCAAGTAGTACTTTCATACACCGGCGCGATAAGTGTCTCGGAAACAGAAGCGGCCACCTTTGAGTCTGGCTTTGTGTTTCTCCTCAGGGGGATCCGGATTATTGGCGAACAAAGATAACTTGTCTTTATGTTTAGCCTTGGGCGGCGCTTTGTCTAATCTCCCCGTGCATCTTAATGGGCCCGAGATCTGGGACCAGATACGACCAACGCCAATTGGACTCTCCGGTCTCACCCGCGGGGCCTGGAAAAGGACACAGTCTGTTTTTCCTAAATAGTGGGTCTTTTTATCGTCTTTAGCTTAAAATGTTTAATTTGGTCGACTTTTAAATCATTTTTATTTCACCGATGAATGTAAAAAGACGTCGACGGTGTCATAAAGTTAAAAATGAATGAATGAAATGAGCAGAAATGAGCCTCCTTTTCCAGATTTCTTCTCTTTCGTGTTCATCAAACTTATTTTAAAGACGCACAAAGCTTTAAAAGTGCATTGTGGAACTTTTCTGGTGGAGGGTCCATCACCTGCTTGTTACTACCCTGCCAAAAAACTTTAAAAATTTAAGATATAAACACTTAAATCTATCAGAAAATGACGTAAAAATAGTCAAATTATCTGTCCATGCTGCAAGATCATTTTATTTGACAAGTTTCTTAAGATAAATGATCTCTAGACTAGAATTAAGTGTCTCTGGGAGGTGTTCATGGGCTGGAAATAAGTTTATGGACTCTAAATTTTAGATAAACATATTTACATCCAGTTTATGATTGCCGTATTTTCCGGACTATAAGTCGCTCTGGAGTATAAGTTTCACCAGCCAAAAAATGAGTAATGAAGAAGAAAAAAACATATATAAGTTGCACTTTTTGGGGGAAATATATTTTATAAAATCAGAGACCAGGAAGCGACATTTCCTGTGTAAAGTCAAGTTGTAGTAAAAACAATAGAAGAGAGAAAAACAGACTGTTAACGTCACATGTGAACAGTTCTTCAGATAAACTATAACATAAACAACTAGGGTTGTCCCGATCTGCAGTCACGTGATCGGAAATCGTTGTCGATCACGTGACTGCAGACTCGATCCAGACTTGGCCGTTATGTTCCGATCAGGTATCGGATTAATAATATACGTATATGACACAGAGGACGCCACAGTTTTTCTGAGGCGTGGGATTTGCTCAGGGACGTTCACTGAGTGCGACTGTCTGCTCCAGCGTCTGTTGTACTAGAGACACACTCACGCTGGGACTTTTGGGTCGTGTCGTGCTCTGGCGCTGTTACCTGTGGTTCTGTGCCCCGTGTTCACACCTGCGCAGCCGATGGCGTCGCACGGCGCTGTTTGTTTGCATGTTACGCAGCGGAAGTGGCGCTTTTGGCGGAGAGGATGGGACCAGCGGTATGAAGCTTCTATTGAGCGGTGGGACTGATGTTGTGGTGTTGCTCTGTGGGTTTGTGGATGTGGTGTTCGGTGCGGGGGACAGAGGCTGTGGGGCTTCTGTCATCTCGTTTTTTATTTGGTAAGATTTTGTATTATTTGGATTTCATAGACGAGTCTAAATGTTTAAAATGTAAAGCACAGGCAAACATATAAAATCAAATATACAAAGTGTAGATTGTGCAGAGTCTCAGGTCTGATCTGGTTCTGGTCTGGTTCCTGTTGTGTTCAGTTCTTTAAGTTTTACTAAGTTACACATTCCAAGACCAGACTGTGAAAAGTCAAGATTTTCAACAGTGATGGTTCATGTTTAGAAAAGTTCATTAAAAAAAAATTAAAGCTTTGGACATTTGATTTTTCACAATTTCAGCCCAAATGCAACACATGAAATCAATACAATGTGATCCTACACACATCCTGGATCTTATTCTTTGCTCTTAGTTCATTTCATAATTTTTATAGAAGTATTGGATCGGTACTTGGTATCGGCAGATCCTCCAAATCAAATGACTCAGACTCGGGGGAAAAAATATGATCGCGACATCCCTAAAAACAAGTGAACAGAACAAGTTTAACAAACTCTCCATCTCACTCCAAATCACTAAATCCATTCAATTCTTCA